AGCTGTGAATATAATGCTTCATCCTTTGATGTTATATGACCACATGTGACAGATAAACAAATGAAAGAGCCTCGAATAAGAAGACATCCAATAAAGACTAACATCTGTCTTCTGGGCATGTTTGCGTTCCAGCAGATAATTGGAGCACGGTTATAGGATATTTATTTTTCACTGTTCCTGGTGGGTAAATGGTTAATGATGCATCACCGTTTTCTTCATGTATAAATTTATCTATGATCACTATCGCACGTGACGTTGTTTCCCTATATCATTATTAGAGAGTTGATATTGTCGACGATTCGACAAGATGTTGAAACTATTAGTATAATTTAACACATACCAACACTCGTCGCCTTTGAAAAATACTGGTGGAAGGTAGTCGATAGATGAGACCAAGAAAGTAGATGATATTTGTTGATCATTCACATCTATTAATCCTGTGAACTTATTTGAGCCCTCATCAATCAAAAGGTATTTTACTGAATGATCAAGCATATAAATTCCACCATATACTGCACAGATTCTAAAAATAAAAGGTTCAATAAAGCAGTTTAAGTAATATTCTTTCTACTTAAAGTCACGTGATGTGGTAAATATAAAAAAAAACAAGATATCACACCTACAAAATCCTTGTGCTATTTCGCTACCACAACCATATAAACCAACTAAAAATGCAGTATTACCATATCTACCAAGTGATCTAAGATATCTCTGTGTTTTTTCCAAACCTTGTATGGTGTTAACTAGGTTTACGAAAGTGATTAATTCAACGATAAATCATGTAAGCAACAGCATATGACCAAATCTAAATATTTCTAACCATCATTTGCATTGGTACGAATCAAAGCAATCGCGTATAAGACAGCCATCAATAATTTTCCATCAATTTTGAATTTCTCAGTAAGTAAGGTAACAAACGATTTCTCTTCATAGTCTGTAAATATTATATATTTATTTTGTTAGAGGAGAGAATATTAAAATAAATTTCTATTAAACATCTAATTACCCTTATATATATCTGGAGAATTGGTATAATCTAACGCAAAAGTTAAAAATCTCATCAATTTGCGTTTTTCAACCAAAGAAATAGACTTGTTGGTAAAAACGTCTTCTTTAGAACATGGGACCTAGTGTTTAAAAAAAAAGTTAGTATTCAACTCATTTTGTTTAATATAGTATAGGTGGGCAGTATAAGTAACAAAAAATTAACTGATAATCAGTAATTGCATGGTCACGTGATATATGGCCACCTGTACTGTAAATCCGTAGCTAATGATTCTCAAACCTTATCAAACGCATCTATAGAATAGATATAAGTCTTATCCATTGCTTTAAATTCCAAATATCTTGCAACTCCAGAGCTAATCAAGAGTTCAATAAGCTCTCCACGACAAGATACAAATTTTGGTGCCAAATCCAAGTTGTATCGTTTTGACTCTTTTAATAAAATAGCTAAAGTTTCAATTCTCTCAAAATTGGACAGACTTGTGGACACGTAACGTAAAGTTTCTTCTGACATGTTTTCAGATCTTTTATGCATTTGAAGAAGTTGTGCAAGACGAGAAGATTCAATAGCAATGGCCTCTTCATTTTCTCGTGTCCTAACAAGAATTTTTGATTTGAACTGTTCAGTAATCACGTTTGCAATAGCATCACTTTGTTCGTATTCTTCAGAGGTCAATAAAAATCTTGCTAAAGCATCATAATCTGGTTGAGTGATTGCAGAATCC